GAGCCGACACATTCGTGCTACAACTATACTATTAATATAGTTGCAGCATGGCTGTACCACGTTTAAAAATAGAATAAGAAATAATAAATAGATAAAGAATCATATAGTTAACTTATACGGAGAAACCCATGTCGATTAGAAGATTTTAACTGGCTAATGAAGATGGCGATTGTTAATTCTATCTAAGTACTTATTGAGATGATCCGTTAACGTTGGTGTCATGCTCTCACCCATGACTGGCCACCAAACTGCAATGAGGAAGTACAACGGGCTTTGGTGCGTTCCCTCTTAGTGCAGCAATGCAAATACTGATTTAGTCTGTAGAATCTGGAGAGCTTCTGGAGGCTTTGGAGCATTCCATCTTGTACGTGGTAGAGCCGCTATATTACTGGTATAGTTGTATCACGAATGGGTCGGCTCGACCGGGGAAGGACCACGCTCTCACAGAATACCAGCGTAAAATAGGAGCTTAACGCTGCTGTGTTTCGTATGGTGAGTGTAGAGAACCGGAGACCCCTTTTTAGTGGAAAAGAGGCATTCCATCTTAGTCCTCACGGGTGACAACGCATCTGCATTTTGATTCGTGATAGAAGATAGATGTAGATGTCTATGGGCCACAGCAAACCGCTTACCATCAGGTGGACTGTGTGCTCGTTTGTCACCCTTATCCTATATAAAAAAATCTTAGTTTGAGTTCCAGAGGTGACAACGCTACTGTTACCTCCTGTATTGGTAGCCGGTATGCAGACATCCTTTGCAAGTGATTGTGAAAACGTTTATTTTTATTTTGTTGTTTTTATTTAAATAAGCAATTCTTATTTTAATATATCTGTTGATTAATATTAAACATTTATTCTCTAAGCTAATTTTTAGAAGCATATATCTACTCTAAAGTCTATTTATTTCAAAAACGAAAATGTACTAAAAATATACTATATTATTCGAGTAAGAGATGAAAACTAAACAGCATCAGCAGTGTAAAGATAAATAATTCAACAAGACCTAACCTCTCACAAGCGGGTTAAGTCAAGTGAATTGAATGCCAATGGAGTAAGTTAGGTACGACGGGGTTAAGTTATATCGTGGCCTGCGACCCGACTAATCGAGGTGGGGTGAAATTGGAGGAGTGGTCTAGTAATGTGCATTACACAGGATATGAATTTATCGATATCGAAATACTGATTTATAATAAAACTTTGACACATAAATGTATTACAAATAATAAACAAAATTGTATATAATATCATATTACACGTTATATTTTAATTAAATTAATTGTTGCGATCAATTGTACGGCATTCCGTAAATATGAATGAAACTTTAAATTACTATAAACCTGTTATTGTCATATTAAATTAAATCACGTTCATTAACTTATACTACATTATACTGATATAACATTAACAAAAAAAAAAACACTATCCGTCATTTACTTGAATAATTTGCTTACATAAACGTAAAATTACCTGTACCTGTTAACGTGCATTTATTTTATCAATACTATATCTTTTGGACTCTATATTAAAAAAAACATTTAATTAGTCTGGTTTTATGTAATTAGCAGCTATTAAACTAATTGTATAATGTCATAATCATAACACGCATTTCATTATTTTACGCTAACAGAACTTGTAGAAGTTTAATAAAATGGTTTATTTTATTTTTTAAAATTTGTAATATATTTATAGCTAAAGTATTATAGTTAGACATGTAATTACGAAAGTATCTAGTAAAGCCAATCTGCAGCCTCATCATGGTAACAGCACAAATGGCTTGACCGTGGAAGTATCACGCTTGCACAGAATACCTTATAAAATCAGCATATTGCTGCTGTTTTCATTATGGTGCGAGGTGACTGAGCTGTAGACCACTTTTACGGACAAAAATAACTACTGACAATGCATCTGGATTTCTAGACTTATTCGAGGATAGATGTAGTTCTATATGTGGGCCACAGCATCCAAGAACTATCACGTAGATTATAGACTGTCTGCTTGTTGTTATTTGCTGATTTATAAAAAAATTATGTAATTTTTAAACTCTGTTAATGTAAAAAAAGACTTCAAGATTTGTTAATGTCATCAAATAAGATGAAATTAACCATTAGTCAATGTAAATGCGGTGAATTTGCATACAGTCGTTATCATTAAATAAATAAAATTGCCCTAACCTCTAACCATTAAAACTGAAGAATAATTTTTCATATATTATGTCGATATATTTCACTAATCACATCACTAGCAGTAACGGTGTAGTAACGGTAGCTAGCACCCCACAAGTAACTCCGCCCCCGCGCACGCTACAACCTACAACCCCTCTACGTATATATCTATTCCATATATGTCTACTCCCGCGTGTTTACAGTAGAGTATACGTCATGTCCCGTAAATTTGTCTGAATTGTATATCGTGTTTTCATGATTTGTTATATGTATGATAAAAGTAAACTTTAAAACAATTAATAATTAAAAATAGGGATTTACAAAAATTATAACAAAAGTAATTATAATTTGAACATGTTTCATAAATTTTCATGAGTTATTATTTATCTTCGGATAATTCTTTGTGATTTTTATATTTAATTAAAACTTATATACTTACACAAAATAACAGCAAATTAATAACGATATTATATATATTCATTTTAATGAATATTGAATAAAACTTTGCTGTCTCACATTTCGAAAAATTAGCAAGATTTTGGTGATAGCCTAACTTAGCAATGTAAATCAAAATTACTTGACCGCATGTTATAAATAAAATTGCATTATATATTACTTAAAATCAACACCAAGAATAATACTTTTATTAAAAATTATTAAAAAATGTGATAATGTCTTTCAACGTGCATATAAAAAACCAGTATCTTTAATTACTTCTTCCCTTGATACACAACTTACTAATATGCATATCGTATAGAATTATGCTGTCTACTTGTTGTCAATATTAATTTGAAGATTTCAACAAACCCGCATTAAGCTATATAGATATACAAGTGAAACCTTGGAAACTGATAAATTGCATTAATACTTTACATAGAAACATGCCAAGCGCATGTTGTATTGAACTAATTGACAAATTATTGGGACGCGTGTAATCGAGGTTAAATAATGATTGTGACACTTTACGTAATACGACACCATTTGTAATTAAATATTTCAAAAATACAATAAATCAATAGTGTTTTAGATTATATCCTATAGACCGATTTCGATGACAGCGACATCTAGCGGAGCATGCTGCTCGGGAGATTAAAGCTATAGTTAGAGGGCCTATTAACAAAACTACGCATTGATAAACATCACAAAACAAATATTATTATAACACAATGTAACACCTACCCGATTCAGATCCGAAGCTTCTTCTCTAGTAACCCAATAATTAAAATGGCGTACCCTGTAACTTATTAACTTTTTGTACATAAAGGTTCCATGCCACTGCTTCTCCATGATAATCATGTGAATGGACGACAATGTTTTTTGCACTTTTTACAAAATTAAATTAAACGATGGTATTGTTTAAGTTTTATAATTCCAAAAATAAATCAGGTATGAATGAGATTACTTACCTTTTCAACGTCAATGAAAACGTGGTAGAGCCATGCTGCAGCTATATTATGGTTGTAGCACGAATGGGTCGGCTCGACCGGGGAAGGACCACGCTCTCACAGAAAACCAGCGTAAAATAGCAGCTTAACGCTGCTGTGTTTCGTATGGTGAGTGTAGAGAACCGGAGACCCTTTTTACTGGCAAAGAGGCATTCCATCTTAGTCCTCACGGGTGACAACGCATCTGCATCTTGAGTCTTTATTGAGGATAGATGTAGATGTCTATGGGTCACAGTAACCACTTACCATCAGGTGGACTGTGTGCTCGTTTGTCGCCCGATCCTATAAAAAAAAAATATATACTATTTCAAAAATTGCAATCAATTTCCTATAAAAGCACCATGAGGTTTTACAGGACAACTGCAAGGATCGTAAAAGTCAGTGAAGACTTTTTCTAATTCAATTGTCTGCTAACTTGCTTCACATTAATTATTACTTATGATTATAAAATAAATACAATAAGAAATGATGAATGCCTTCATTAGTAGAGGAAAGGTTTTTACTGGTAGTGATAATTATGCGTTTCTGACGATAACGCCAGGAATGCTATGTTGATTAAACATTTATTTTAGAATATGTTTTCTCGTTCGGGCCTAGACCGAAAAGTAATTTAATTATTATCTCTCAATCATCATCATTATCATCATCATTACAGCCCTTCACAAGTCCATTGCTGAACGTAGGGCTTCCCCAAGGAATGCCACAGAGCACGGTTCTGAGCCACCTGTATCCATCGACTTCTTGCATGTCTTACCAGGTCGTCACTCCATCTAGTGGGGAGTCACCCCACATTTTGCCTACCGGTACGAGGCTGCCACTCGAGAACCTTTTTTCCGCATCGGTTATCGGTTCTTCAAGCTATATGGCCGACCCATTGCCACTTGAGCTTACTAATCCGTTGGGATATGTCGGTCACTCTAGTTTTACTGCGGATATCCTCATTTTTAAGTTTACCACGCAAAGGAACCCCGAGCATAGCCCGCTGAGCGACCTTGAGCGTCCTCATACGGCCAGCAGTGAAGGACCACGTCTCAGAGTCTACAAGTCATCATTGGCAACACGCACTGGTTATACAATCTCGTTTTCAGGTTTTGAGGTATACTGTGAATAAAGCGAATACGTTAAGATCGAGAGAATTCCGTCTTCCAGATCTTCCGTCCTATTCTTCCAATGCGATAAATGAACGTACCGCTTCTTGAAGCGGGACGTTCATCTGAAAGGTCCTTGACCCTTCAGAAACTTACTACATATAAAATAATGTAACAAGCTATTTTACGCCTTAACTAAACTATAAATAAAAGCTGGAGTTCTTAGTGTTCTGTATTTTCATAAAGCATTATTATATACATTAGATTCTAAAGGACGTGAATATAACTGATTTTATTTATTCCCAGGTGAAGATTTGGTTCCAGAACCGACGCAGCAAATACAAGAAAATGATGAAGGCGGCGCAAGTCGGAGCGCCACCTCCAAGCCTCGGTCTACCTCCTGGCAGCCCGCCTAGCAATAACCAGTTATTACATGGTAATTTTACTATGCTCCAATTTGTGTGCTAACATTTAATAAAAAATATACAACTGCAACACAGTACTGTTATATAATAAAAAAAAATATATTTTATCTATAAAATCAAAGTGACAAACGAACTTACAGTTTTAGTCCACCAGATGGTTAGTTGCTTCTACAGCCCACGGACATTTGCAACCAATATAGAAGACTGCTAATGCATTATCCCCAAGGGCTAACCTGCAATATTTTTCATCCTGTAATTACACGTTTATACGTGGTAGAGTCATGCTGCAGCTATATTAGTAGTATAGTTGTAGTACGAATGGGTCGGCTCGACCGGGGAAGGAACTGATTCAACATTATATAGAGAATCAAAGCTGCGTTAGTTGTTGAACCAATTGTTAATACTACTATTTTGTACGTGGTAGAGTTGTACCGCGAATGGGTCGACTCGTCCGGGGAAGGACCACGCTCTCACAGAATACCAGCGTAAAATGGCAGCTTGACACTGCTGTGTTTCGTATGGTGAGTGTAGAGAACCGCAGACCCATTTTACTGGAAAAGAGGCATTCCATCTTAGTCCTCGCGGGTGACGACGCATCTGCATTTTGATTCTTTAATGAGGATAGATGTGGATGTTTATGGTTCACAGCAACCACTTACCATCAGATGGATTGAGTGCTCGTTTGTCACCCTATCCTATAAAAAATGTATTAAATTTGATTTATGTATAATTTAATTTAATTGTTCCTAGGTGGCGGTGGCAGTTCAAGTGGATCCCAGCATTCGCCCTCAGCGTACCAGAGCGGGGGTCCTACGCAAGCCCACTCTCCAACCCCTAGCTCCACGCCGGTCTCCGAGCTGTCACCTGGGCTGTCTCCCACGGGGACTCCGTGGGACGTAAAACAACCTCCACAACCCTCTTGGGATGTAAAGGTTGGATATGTAAGAAAAATTATATACATTTCAATTCGAATTTTATAATCAAAGATTTTAATTAATATAATGTTAAAACTTCTACATCAGCAGTCTGTGAATGTCTAATGCAGGACATAGGTCATTTCCGTTGTCCTCTCTGGATTTGCCTTAATCGTACGGCTTGGCAGACAAATTTATGTTTTGAGTACGCTTTCTATTTTCTGAGATGTTATAGCTTCAGCTTCGGCTTTTACAGCTTCATCGGACACAAGGCTCACGGCCCGTAAAGGCCGCGATATATGTATATATAATGGGGTACCAAGCTATACAAAAAATGTTCTTTTCACTTTTGACGTTGCTTATCGTCGTAAATTTGAATATTTACGATTGGTGTTATGGATATTTATGCCGCCATCTATCGCAAGCCATAAGGTATTTTTGGCCTTGTCTATTCTAACGACACCCACGGAGTGAAATGTTTAACACTCTTAGAGTGAAGCCACATGGTACACAACATGTATTAATATTTTTTCACTTTTTAACATAGTAAAACTTCCTACAACCCAGTGCCGAATTAACATATTAGAGGAATTTTTATAGTTACTATATGCAGGTTTTCTCATAATTTCTTTCTTCACTAACAAGTACGTCGGTAGTCAGTAGTGGTAACTCAGGGGCAATCCCAATTCGATCTCCGCTGGCTTCAATGAATTGAAAAACAATAATTCGTGCTGATTTACTTTTAATATAAAGAACAATTCTAATTAAAATGTGCCTTTAAGAGGCTGAAGATTGTACGTAACAAAAATATCTAATATATTTTTTTTCTTCTTAGCCAAATGCTGGTCGCTCGCCAGATGCCTCATGCGATGTGAAGCCTCCACATCAGCAGTCGTGGGACCCTAGGGTCGGATACGTAAGTTTACTTTAATTAACTTTGATCAGAATCTTTAACCGAAACACTATTAATCTTTTAATGGTGAATCCATGTTAGAATTATAGTTTATAATTTACCAATTGGAATTTAAATCGTATAACTTTCAGAATTTGCCACGTTTAAAACTTAATATGGCCGATCACAGACTATACTGAGAGTTCATATATCTTCATATTTTACTCCTTTGAGGCTCTTTACCCTCGTTGATCTATTCTCTTCTAAATGGTCAAGCATTTCAAATGTGTACTATGTCGTCTTGTCTACCGACTTCAAACAAGAGGAGGTACTCAATTCGACTATATGTTTTTTTCTTATGTGTGTTACCTCATAAATTTCTTCTGGGGGAACCGATTCCGATGATTCTTTTTTTAATTGAAAGCTCGTGCTTTTTATGTGGTCCCATATATATTGATCAAGATCTGATCAATAGTTTTTGAGTTATTCTTAATAATTTATATTGAAGTCGGTTGTTCAAAATCACAAACGTGAAATTTTGTCAAAAAATCTTTTGGCTTGTATTGACACCTATAGTAACACGGCCATTGCAACTGTTTGAAATAATGTTAATATAAAAAAAAATGTATATTCGTATTTTATGCACTGCTATACCGTTCATCAGATTGCACTAATATTTTGTCAACTTATTACTTGCAGTTGCGCGAAGGTTATAGACATAGTACAAATAAGTTACAGAAGGTTGCGCGCGTATAGTACTGACTTTATTTGAAAGTTAAATATCATTTAACGTCAATGAATATATTATCTTTCCTATTTAAACAACATAACTTTTCCAAATTTAAAACGATACCTATTTCTCCAAATTATTTCTTATTATATATTAGATAATAATTCTTCTGAGGCAGCGACGCGCCGGTTACTAGCTAGTGATGCAATAAAATAATATAACATATTATTATGTTATTGCATTACACGATGATTGATTTATACGTTGCATTACATATATTTTAAATACTATATAATATGTAACGGAACAGCATAAGTTAATTTATGCTAACTTTAAAATGTTTAAATTCCTTATTTGTGTATACTTTAAGGTAGGTCCTTATCACATTCGCAATTTTGGATCGACGTTTTCCTATCCCAAAACTGACGGTTCGTTGTTATCTGATGTATTTATAAAAAAACAGACATAGATTGTAGAAACGTAGGCATTACGGACTTTGATTCATCCTGCATACACGGTTCCGGTGGTCGATCATTTTTAATGTCAGTAAAAAATAGCGATATTTAGCAACGTCCGACAGCGTCCGTAATCAATACATTTTAATCATACGCTTTTAAACGGTGGAAGTACAATAATACCTACCTACGGCTTGTTAGCGTTTCGAAATTAGATACAATTTATTCGGTACTAGTTTTCTAACAACCGGTACTTGTTTCTGGTTTAAATTTTTTTTTTTATAAAACGTTGCACTCACACTTCGACCGTCTCTGAGGGTCTGGTGGTGCTAATTGCGAATGATGATCACGGAGTCGCGGGTTGGAATCCCGAGTTGGACCAAAATCAATTAGGATTACATTATTCTGTTAAGAAATTCTCAATAATAACCCGGTGTTAGAAAGTTGGCGGTGTTTCAAATGCGTTCCTCGGAAAGCACAAAAGCTGTTCTGGCCCTGCACCTGATCTCTCTACGCTCGTGTCGGATAGCAGTTCCATCGAACTATGAAAATAAGGGTGTGGAGAGGGTACCTGCGCTTACCCACATATATTTATACCTCCATATATTTAAATGAAACAGAGCGTTTTTAATATTTACTATTACTATATAAACAAAAGTATTATTGAAATACGCAGCTTTATCAAGCCTACAATTGACTGGTTATTCAATCAATCGTTTTCCAAGTGTCAATTTTCCATTGTCAATGGGTAGCGGTTCTGGCGACAGATTGATGCAATGGTGTGTATGCATGTAGCACCTGGTTTTGTATCCTTGTGTACCCTTCAACGGCCAAGTCATATATAACATTAACTATAATAATAAAGAAATCGCAGTAAGGAACCTTAGACTTGGCACGACTTTGTCTAGATTTCATTACTTTTTAGAGATAAACAAGCAGCTCCATCGAGACTTGGCTAGTTTTTTAAAGAATGTTTTTGGTGGGATGTACTTTAATTAATATAATTTGAATTTATTTAATATTTCTTATCAAGTTATTTGGCGAGTTTTATCACGTCTCTTAAAGCGTGATAAAATTTTACTTTTTTACAACTGGCTAGTGGCTATTCTGTACGCCATAAAATAATAAAAAATAATGCATTAATATAATATTATTTGAACAAAAAAGTCAACCTGTTGCGTGTTATCTTCACTGTTAGTAGCGCAGTAAGAAAGGCGTGACTGGCCGCGCCTAGCATTTAACTGGATTAGTTTCATGCGAGTCCATTATGTTAGCTAACGGTAGAGCGTTCATAAACTTCAGCCCTTATGATCCTATTGAGCACTTCGTTTAAAGGTCAATGTATATTGTGTTAATGAATATCAACTAAAAGCTCTTAAAGTTTACATTCATACTGCGTTTAATGCGATCTTCGTGTTGTAAGTAGGTATATTTTATAGAGTCTATATTTGTACATCATACATTATTTAAATGTATTTATTCTTCCGTGTAGTCGCAATTGCTTTATTTTCTAAAGAAAAGTGGGTTTATGTTAAAACAAATATTTATACTACAATTAAATTCATTACATATATAATTATAGAAAAATGCTAGGTAAGGCTATTTCAATATTTTACTTACGTTACGTAAATGTGTTAAATACCCTGTCCTTACTTGGTTCATGTTACATTTTTGTACTAAATTAATAACTCAAATAATTCTAAATATAATTATTTTTTGTAGTAACAAAACAAACAAGCAGAAAGGCTAAAGTAATAACTAAGTCCATTGAACGCTGTGGCCCATAAACGCCTACATTTATCGTCGATTTAAGGATTGCATATATGCATACGCGTTGTCACCCAAAATGGATCTCCGGTTCTCGTCTCCTCACCATATCAAACAAAGCAGCATTATGCCCTTTTTACTTAAACAGAACATTCATTGAGTCGAAGTCTTACAACAACAGTTTAATTTTGAACAAATTTTCCTTCGATAAAGATACTTTTCGTACTATAAAAATTATATAATTTCAATTTTGCTATTTTTAAACCCCGACGAAGACAGAGAGGTGTATCTGTGTGGCATCGTACCTCCCGAAGGGTTTTATGCATTTAAATTTAATTTATTTTATTTGAAAGGTGACTTCATCGAGAGTAACCTTAGCTAAGATACAAGAAATTCAAATAAAAAAAAATTCAATAAAACCTTTTCAGTCGTTTGAAGATCCTCATTATTTTTTGTTTGGGAGCTTATAAAATTTTCAACTTAAGTTATTAAATAAAAAAGTAAACGTTTTATAGGAATGCTTCCAGATTCTACTCCTTCTCCTTATCAGTATTAACAGGCCAATGCTGGGCTTGGGTTTCTCCCATTCCGGGAGCTATTATATTGTCGTACGTAATAGAGTTGTCACACTTTGGCACTGTTTCTCAACACCGTTGTAAAGAAAGATTTTATGTTTTTTTACAATCTGACCCGGAAGATATTGTTATTCCATTTACAGTAGGCGATAATTTTTATTCCGAATTCACTCCAGACTTTTAACTGTGTAAAATTTATTTACATTGTAAAAGGTCTACTGCATATCTATCGGGTCTAGATTTGTGATTTTTTGGCGCTAAACCAACATATTGTGAACATGTCTCTTTGGTTCATGAAAATAGATTTTGTAATAACTTGACTACAGCGCTACCTGTTAGATCTTAGCATAGCATCGTCTTGACAAAACAGAAATATTATGAGAATATGACCGTAATGGGTGAAGTTGTTCCAACCATCTATCGGGGCCTACAAGTTCTGATGGAACTTTTCCATGGATTATCTCTCAAAATCACCTCTCTTCATAATCGTGGAAATTTTATTTCAAATAACCTAATAATATTTTAATTGGTCGTAGGGCGCGCCACCTGGCCCTTGGGACATGAAGGGCGCGCACGCCCACGCTCTGCACCACCAGGGTGCGCCGCAACCGCACCCGCCCTACGTGCCGCAGTACTCCTGGTACCAAGCCGACGCCAACCCTGGACTTTTGACGTGAGTATTTATAAAATATTAAAAAAAATAAAACCAAAATTAGGACCTGCGTCGACCTACTTCAGGATAGGCATCGCCTCTTGTGAAAATATGGAAAGAAAAAATTTACAGTGCTGCTCCGGTGTTTACAAATTTCACATTATCTTAGATATACTGGTTTCTTAACGATGCAATCGTTCAACACGACTACTAGCTTAATGGAATTATTTTATAGTATAAGGGTGACAAACGAGCACATAGTCCACCTGACGTTAAGTAGATGTAGTGGTCCATAGACATCTAAATCAATCCTCGATTCAGAACCAAAATGCAAACGTCTTTTCACCAGTAAAAATGATCGCCGGTTTTCCACGTTCGCCATACGAAGCACAGATCATACGAAACACAGATGTATTAAGCTGTTATTTTACGCTGGTATTCTGTGAGAGCGTGGTTCTTTCCCGATCGAGCAGACCTGTATAGCTGCAGGGTGGCTCTACCACGTAACAAATTTAGCTAAACTGTCACACTTTCCAGATATATTTTGTTCTAAAAATTATCTTCAGATACTTTAATTTATAAAACATCCTTATTTATTTTGTTAATCGCTTGCAGTGAAAACGGGCTAGCGCTTTTCCATCGCATGGGCTTAAGACCACAATACTTGGGACCACACGATCAGAACAACTACGATAGCTGAGGAATTTCCGGATTTAGTTAATTGTAGCTTATAGGTTTCCAGAAAAGTTACGAAACATTGAATGAAATGTGAAAAGTTATAATGGCATGCATAAATATTACAATGTCTCGAAGTAAATTACAACAACAATACACAATATACTTGCAAGCAAATTTTGATCTCATTGATAGCGTCATATTGGTTATTTATAGCTTACAAGAAAGGACGTAATTATGGTGCTTAAAACAGTTTATCATCTGTTGTTAATTAAATGACAAAGAACACTGACAGTATTAAAATATTTAGACACATTCTTTGCGGTTTTTAAACGTGTATGTTTGTAACAATTACGCCCTTTCTTGGCCTTCTAAATTCATTTTATTAATGAAGAAAAATTGTTTGTCAACAGGGTTTGGCCCGCAGTGTAACAGCCTTCGAACAAACACAGAAAATAATAAATTTAAATGCAAGTATAGTTCACATTCAATATGGCGGGAAAAAGAGCGCACAAAAGGCGTCATTTTTACTATCGAGAAATAAGCAAATTTTGTATCGGCACAACCAACTTTTAAATTAAGGAATCTATTTAATAGAATTAAAATTGTACATTCTATATTATTAATCATAGAGCGTGATTGTTTAAAGTGGTTACTGTACATGTTATAACCTATTGTATTAAAGCTAGTAAATACGACTTTGAATAAGTACCTACGAACTGGTTGCCCAAGGTCGGAATTTTTTTTTTAATTTCACTGAGATGTATCTACCTTTTAATATTTATCAATAATGAAATTAACATTTGTGCATGCCATTATGTCTTCAATAATTTGCAATATCTTTCCCTTTGTTGGAGGAGACACGTGGATTCAAAATCATGTATAACTTTTTCGTAATGTAATAAATAATTATGTAAATTTAAAATTTAATTTAATTTTTATGCATCTTTATACTGTATTTATAACTGTGAAATTTAAGTTTTTGTTAACCTTGTTGCCAACATTAGAAATAGAACTTGAAGACAACTCATAGCCATTAATAAACAAATATGTTTGGTCAGCTATAGCGCATTTAGCGTAATATCTAGCCAATACATGCACTGGATTATTGGGATTGTTTGGCCATCACGTTATTTTGTCATTATTTGGTCATCATGGTAATGTTCTTTTTTATCACTTCTCAACGTTAATCAAAAATATGTTGATGTAACTGGTTATTGATAATCAAGCGATGAATAAATAAAAATATAAATAAATATTTTTATTTTTAATTCAGCATTTCTTTTCCTGCGCATGTATTATTCCTAATGCCTAATGTTAATAAATAAATTCTACATGTTTTGGGAACAAGTTGAATTTTTATGAGCATTTTTGATAGCTTTTGTTATTTACAAACATTTTTAGCACAATCAGCAAAAAAGAGACGTGTAATTTATAAGCTCATTGCTAAAACAAATTTGTTTTTAATGCACTAAAATAAAAATAATTTGACATGATACTATTAAATATTCAAACACGCAAGCTTTAAATAATTTTTTTATTTAATTTAATCGATCCAATCAAAACAAACGGGAACACAAACCATGTTGTTGTGATAAATAATTTTAAGTTTTTTTTTTTTTGTATAACTAAAGCAATTGAATTGTATTTATTGAATTATTGTTTTTGTGCAAGCAAATGTGTTCTGCAAAATGTATTTAAGCTGCGAGTATTTTTTATTTTATCTTAATTCTACTGCAATTCGATGATTATCTATTTCATCGTACATTAAACTATGATCTAATGAAAGCATGAGCAGAATATTGTGGTGTTGCTGTTTACGTAATAATTTGGATTTATGTCCTAAAACTATCTCGTTTAATACTGCACCTATAGATAGGCGGGAGTTTAGTTTTCAAGTAATTTCATTATAATGCCTAAAATAGATCCATGATATAAGCAACTGCTGGTCAGTTTTTTTATAATTTTAAATTACACTATTCTGTTCATGCTCTAAGCGATTATGGTATTCTTTCTAAAATGGGTCTTTACGGGATGAATTACAATTTGTAAATATTTTTTGTAACATATAGAGAATATATAGTATACATATAAATATAAATAGATAGTATAATAATTACTTTATAACTACATTGTATTATAAGGAAAGCGGAAATAACAAAAAATGAATAAATTTCTTTTGTCAAATAAAAAAAAATTGTAAGAGATTTCATGTGTTTTATTGATTATAACTTATATGAAATGTTTGTCAAAAATCGTACCCAGAGGTGTTAAAGTGGATACTTCTTTTACCTGACACACTTTTACTGGGCAAGGAATAAGTTTCAATAGTTTGTCTGTAAGTTCTGCCAAAAATTCACTTGCATGATACCTATATAAGAAACAATTTAAGACAAAGGGTAGATATAGGTCATGACGCGACAGATATCAGTGTGCTTTTAAGACCAAACTAACTGACTCTTTGACTCCTGAAACCTGTATCTCAGGAGTCAGTGTCTTCTCACAAAAATAACTCTACACATTACGTATATGTTGGCAAAAATAAAGATAAACCAATTAATAAAACTAAAATACTATTGTATAGATATGTGGGTGTGTGTTTGTGTGTGTGTGTTTTTTATATGATAGGGTGACAAACGAGCACACAGTCCACCTGATGGTAAGTGGTTGCTGTGACCCATAGATATCTACATTTATCCTCAATAAAGAATCAAAATACAGATGCGTCGTCACCCGTGAGGACTAAGATGGAATGCCTCTTTTCCAGTAAATTGGGTCTCCGGTTCTCTACACTCATCATACGAAACACAGCAGTGTCGAGCTGCCATTTTACGCTGGTATTCTGTGAGAGCGTAGTTCTTCCCCGGTCGAGCCGACCCATTCGTGCTGCAAATATACTACTAATATAGCGGCAGCATGGCTCTACCACGTGTGTGTGTGTGTGTGTGTGTAAGCATGGATATGATGTTCTGTAGGTTAAAAGGTTAATACAGTATATCTATAGATATAAAAGAGGATGTTTTTATAGATGAAATTGTTTAACTCAAAATCTATTTGATCGAACACCGTGACAATTGGTATATATATTTCAATGGAGAAGGTATATTCATTATTTTTGTTTATAATATTTATAAATTAAAATAATGAAAAAAAAAGTCGAAACAATAATTTAAAATGTTTGATGTTATTTGCTTTTTTCTATCAAGCGCGGCAATTAATAAATTAAATTGCTTGCGCTAAAATAAAAAAGTTGATGAACATTAACCTATGTTATTAACTGGCAGGACAATAATACATACAATGTAAACACATAACTATAACAATATATGTATAGTGATAACCACATGCACTATAATCCTATTGTGAGATACATTTTTTTAACAATCCACGTGATGGTAAGCGGCTATTGCAGTCAATGGACACCTGCAGATAATTTCAAACAAAGGAGGCTACACATGCGCTGTTACTTCTCAGGACTAAGAGAGAATGCCTCACAGCTGGTAATTATGGCAATTATAGTACATAATGAATAATCTCACGTAACTTACTATCAACAAAACGATATTTTATTATCAAAGTGAAATAGTTAAGGTTAAAACTTAAACATTACTGTTTCTACAAACGTAATCGTCTTTGGATGGAGCTTTCACTTGACGAGACATGAAAAATATACTGCTTACTTTATTTTACTTTTTCTTTAGGTGGTTCTACTTCTTTTCTTTATTTTATATATCATCCCGTGGGTGTCGTGAGAGGCGACAGAGGAAAACAAATCAGGAGATGAGCAACAGCGTCTTCCTAATAACGACTAAAAAAAATATAAAACTGCGGTTACCAACGCGCTTGTCAGGCGTGGCAACGATGGCAAATATCCCCACTTTGAGGCAATTTATGGGAGAGGCCGATGCTAAGCAGTGGCCTTTAACAGACTGTAATGATAACGGTAATTCCTTTTCATACTACGAGTCCGTCTGGATAGGACCCATCCTCTTACCTACTTAGCAATATCTGCAGTATTATGTTGTAGCTGTAAAGTCGGCTGAAGGTGTCAATGGACTGCAGCAGCTATTCACCCTCAGGTGTTACTAAACGTGGTAGAGCCATGCTGCAGCTATATTAATAGTATAGTTGTAGCACGAATGCGCCAGCTCGACCGGGGAAGGACCACGCTCTCACAGAATACCAGCGTAAAATGGCAGCCTAACACTGCTGTGCTTCGTATCGTGAGTGTAGAGAGCCGGAGACCCACTTTACTAGAAAAGAGGCATTCTATCTTAGTCCTCACGGATGACAACGCATCTGCATTTTAATTCGCAAACGAAGATGGATGTAGATATCTATCGGCCACTGCAGCCACTTGCCATCGGGCGGACTGTGTGCTCATTTGTCACCCTTATTCTATAAAAAAGGTGTACTGTAAGAACGTTTGTCACTTCAAATTTATAAAAAAGGAATATCATGATTTATTTCGGGAACGAAATCTTTGTAACGTATAAAATATAACGACACCATAACTTCTAATTAGAGTGTCATTTATCTTATTTTTCTTTTATATTTTGGTACCAAAAACTTAAATGAAGTTGACCATCATCATCATCTACCTATCATCCCTCAACAGTATCTTTCAAGATGGCGTCATTTCTTATATTATGTTGCAACCATTGCGACTTGTATTTACTGCCCGGGAGAAATAATTTACTTAATTTTGTGCTTTCTTTAAATATTTTATAGAATAATTTTATAGAATAAGGGTGACAAACGAGCACACAGTCCACTTGAAGATAAGTAGTTGCAGTCGCCCATAGACATCTACATCTATCTTCGTTTGCGAATTAAAATGCAGATGCGTTGTCAGCCGTGAGGACTAAGATAGAATGCCTCTTTTCCAGTAAAAAGGGTCTCCGGTTCTCTACATTCACCATACAAACACAGTAGCGTTCAGTTGCTATTTTACGCTGGTATTGTGTGAGAGCGTGGTTTTTACCCGATCGAGCCGACCCATTCGTGCTACAACTATACTATTAACATAGTTGCAGCATGGCTCTACCATGTATAGCATAATATATATATATATGGGTATAATATTATGATTTATATAATAAAACATAATAAGCATATGTTTCTTATCTAAATTTATATATTATTATAACATTACCGCTAAAAGCGAAGTATAATAGTCATTTACAGTAATTTTAAAAAAATGTCATAAAATGGCGGGGATTAAATCGCCACAATGGATGACAGTTACTGACAATATATATTTGACACATCCCGGCTGGATGTTTTGACTGTTGAGGGGTTAGAAAACGATATATCCACAATGAATACCTATTCTCTTAATCCAATATTTCATAATAGAATATTATTTATAGAGTAAGGGAGACAAATAGTCCACCTAATGGTACCTAAGTTTATGCTGTGGCCCTTAAATC